CAATTCAGGCTCAGGCTTTTTGAGTGTCTGTCCCTAGCCCTTCAGCCTATACCTTCCCAGAATGATATGCAGACATCCTTTCCTTTACAAAGACAAAGGGGGTCATCCAGTGAATATAGGCCTCACTGGAGCATTGGTTAGTACAGCCATTGATTACTACATATACTATTCAGGCTTTGCTTAAACACTGACCAGTGTAGGCCTCACTAGAGCCCTGACAGACACTAGATGCATAGTATTGCCAGAAAACAGAGGCATGTACATCAAGTACTAGATGGTGTAGAACTCGCCTGATAAAGAAAGAACAGGAACACATACATCATGACAGGCACAGGGTGGCCCACCATACCAGCAGAATGTAATATGCAGTTTCTTTTAATCAGTGTTTTTATGTTTAGTAACATGGGTTGGTTTGAATTAAAGAGCTGGGAAACAGGGTACCTTGTATTAGCTTGGGGGAGAGACAGTTTGAAAATGGCTGAAACTGGTTTGAGATAAACCTGGTTGAATGTAGTAAACCAGTGTCGTAAAACCGGTTTGAGCCAAACCAAATGTGGTTTTAGGGGTATGTCTGCAACATGGTAGCAAAGTACAGGAACACCATGTTGGAACAGGCATGTTGGTACTATTTCTTGTAGGCAATAAACCCACTGAACTGTACCTGCAGTCTTTGTGGTTGCTACTATCTTCCTACACTGGAGTCAGAACCAGCAGATGCTGATCAGACTGTATAGAGAGAACAAAGCCAGCAGGTACAGTCTCCAGACTACCTGGCAGCTTTCCAGAGGGAGAGTGCTTTCCAAATATTTAACTGATATCTTTCAGGCCTAAAAAGTCCTAAGATTTTCCATCTGGCTGTCAGGGCTTTCTCATGCAATAAAATGTTACAGGACAATCTGTTTATAATTAGATGCTAAACTATTGTTGAAGTATTTCAGACTGAGATTACAGATGTACACATACATTTGTTTTATTTTTTTTTATGTAGTGAATCATCGTTCATATCCTGGTGTGGTTTTTGCAGTTCTTGCTTTCATTTTATCTTTTACCCAATTTACCTTTATAAAAGATTTACTTATTTTAGTATATAGGGAAATGTATTGCAGAAACATTTTCTGAGTAGAGTACCTCCTGGAAAGATCCAAAGGATTTATAGAAATAAGCATTCAAGCCTACTAGCAGTTCTAATGTTAATGAAAGTCCAAGTTCTATTTTCAAAAGCACCTGGCTGAGATGTTTTTGTCAAAACAAGCATATTAGAGTGTGTTAAAGAGGACTAGAAACTTACCGTGCTTCAGCTGCTCTATTTTAGCTACCCATGAGCATGCTTTTACTCTGCAGGAGATGAAGAACTGTGACAGCTTAGCCTACTTTCCTTGAGTTTACTTTCATTGCAAGTTACATGCATGCAAATGCATAGTTATCATGGCGTGGTGCTTAGATTTGGAGCCTGATTTAAGTTTTGGGGTGTCTGGAGTCAAGAATCCAGTTTGACTTGTCATGGAGATGGACTGTAGCAAGCCTAGGGTGCCTTGAACAGTCTGTTTCCCCTTTGGCATCCTGTCTTGGCATTCCACCTGGTGAAGTCTCCCAGCTCACTTGCCACACATTGATATCACACATTGATACATTGATATCATCAGTTAGAAGGATGGGAGATTGTATTTGGTTAACCAGGTCTGAACTCCTGTTGCTGCAGTAGAGATCTGTATCTCTCTCTTTGTCTCACTCCTACAGTCTATGTTGGGTAAGCCCACGTATGCCTGCACAGCTAGTTCTGGGTTGCAGGCAGCCAGTCTACCCCTGTGCTGTATGTTTTACCTTCCTACTGGGCTTACACCAAGACACCTGCCATTTCTCACCAAGTGTCAGTTCAGAGCTTTGGATTAAGTATTAAAGAAACTTTGGGCTTCATCACAGTCCATGTAGTTCCTGGGCCCCTCATATTCCTCCAAGCTTAGAGTCTCTTTCACAGACTTCTAGGCTCATGGGCCTTTCACAGCCTTCTTGGGCCTTCAACAACCCCACAAAGTTGGCCTGTAAACCTTGGGCCTGGCTATGACCCCACAGAGTTTAGGCTCCTTTCACTCACATTCCTCAGCAGTCTTAAATACAAAACTACAACACCTACAACACCATCCTGCCACCCCCCTAGCCACCCTCAAGCCTCAGAAAATTTAAAACATCAACAGAAATCATTTAACTCATCAGACTTCCTGCAGGGCTTCTTTCACTCCCAGTTCTGCATACTTCACTCTTTGATCTTCCTAACAGAGACCAGTCTGAGGCTCTATTAGTGGGTCTGGACTTATAAGACATTTGGCCCCTCCTCTTCTCACCACCTGACCTGTCTCTCTCCCAGTAGGTTGCCTCAGTTCTCTTTCATAGATCTCATTAGCAGAGTCTTCAGCTCAATTGCAGTCATTATCCAATCAGTGGCCTGTTGATTACTGCCTGGAGTCCTGCAGCTTTTTGGCTTTGTGGTCTGGCTGCACTCCCAGTATCTGAGGTAAGGACAGCAGTTTCCTCCGGTCTCAACAGCTCCTACAGCATCCCAGAGCCAACCTTTTCACAGGGCTCTGGAGTCTGGCAGCAGCTCTTACAGGGCTCTGATCAGAGTCTTTTTAAAGGTGTCCCATCTCTCTCTACCCCTCTTCTCCTCAGTAACGTGGTGGGAGTCTTGTTACAGTGACCTGATCCACCATATTTGGATCTGCACTCAATATTCCCATGGTTTTTCTTTGGGATCATTTCTGCCCTAAAGCTTTGTCTAGTAAGAAGTCAAGCACTTGCGGAAGCGGACTCTGAGAATTTCCTAGGAATTGTTCCATAAAGAATAACACGCAGAATAAAACAAGGAAGAACAGTGCCATAGCAACGAAGTTTGGTGCCCAGGGCAAAGTCTGCAGCAGGAGCCTGCCCTTGCCCTGTGCACAGATTTGGGGGGCATGCCCCCCCATGCTTGCCCGGGAGTGCACGCAGAGGCGGGAGCCATCCTTCCCCCATCCCCATGCCCCCACAAATGAGCCACTTGCGGCTCTGTCCTGCACTTGGCACCGGCTGGGCAGTGCCTATTGGCGCCCTTTTACTTTGGTGCCCGGGGCAGTTGCCCCGCTTGCCCCACCCTTGCTACAGTACAGAGAAAGAACAATAATTTGTGATTTGGTAGCTTCACAAAAGACATAAATGTCACCTATGTTCTGCATCATCTCAAATACATAATAAAATAATTTTCTTGTTCTCCATCTTACAGCATTTTAAAATGTATATTTCTGCTTCCAAGAAATTACCAAATTGCACAATTCTTCTATCAGTATATTTAATTAAATTTATAAATATAACTCAATTATATTTTGCATCTCTCCCCTTAGCTTTACAAAATGATTATCTGATTCATTTCTACATCTTTTGATGTTTTAGTATGAATAATTTCCATAGTTGCATCTAATAATGATATACATATCAGTTACAATACCGATTAAAGAAAAGGTTCAGATAAGTATATAACCTGATATCCAGTATTCTTGGATACAACTAATGGATCCATTAAAGATATGGAAACCTTTTTCAGCCTGATATATTACTTTATTTTGCTGTTCAGAATAGTATAATCAATAATATGAATGCATTAAAAAGAAAAAGAATTCTAAATCTCTTAATTTCAAAGCACTTTAGCATCTAAAGTAACATATTTGTAATAATAAAATAAACATCACCAGTAAAAAAAGAGAAACTATTTCCTAATGTTGATTAATGAATGTTTCAATTTAAGTAATCTCCTTGGTGAAAACTGTCTCAAAAGTTTGGTATTAGCACAAAATTCAGAATCAGGGAGATTTTCAGTATTTGCCTTCTGTTTTTTCAGAGGGTGTTGACATGCAAACAGGATTGCAAAACTTTACTAAATTTCTTTTTGTCACAAATCAGAATGCCAAACTGTCCTCACAGGGTAGTTAAAATTCTATGCTGGATTAGAGCCAGATATATGCTTGCTGTCAAGTTGTTAAACTTCCTGTGAAAAGCCTGGCCCTGTAAGTGCTCATATAAATAGTCTCTTTTAAGTCATAAGAGAAATATAGATTATATGGAGAAGGTAAATTGAGTGCTACTTCATAATCCAAGAACAAGGGGACATTCAAAGAAACTGAAGAACAAACAATAACATGTAAAAGATAATGCATTTTTACACAATGCAAAATTAATCTGTGGGAATTGTTACCACAGCATAACCTTGTGATAAAGACTTTAGTAGGTTCCAAACAGGATTAAACATTTATAGCAATAAAAACATCTGTAACCACATTAGATAAAGCAAAATTATCAGTCATAACAAAGCAACTGGACACCCAGGGCAGTGTGATGCATGGGGGCAGCAGTGCTTTCCAGCTGCCACCATACCACTAGTGCTATTGCGTGGCTTGCAGTAGCAAATATTTTTCCACCTCCTCCCTCCCTCCACTTCTCAGGTTGGTGCCTGGGGCAGCTGCCCTGGTCCTCCCACCCTAGTTATGCTGCTGGAAACTATTTTAAAGAATGGATAAGCACTTGTGTTATCATGGCATAAAGTAACCACTGACTAGCAGGTGTTTGGATTAGAGACTACATTTTACTGCCCGGCATCAGTCATAGAAAGGACATGGTGGCAGTGGCAAAACTATCTTCATCACAGCCCATAAAGCTGGATGCTACAGGTACAAAAGCATGATTTCAAACCTCACTCTAGACTTGTGTTGAAGGTTGTCCTAGGTCAACCCAGCTGCAAAGAGATATCTGATCATTTCAGATAGGCAGTGAGAGATGGCTGGATGTGATGCTAGCTGTCTTGTTCCCCTATGTGCTGTTGGTTATAGAAACTGGTGTATTGCTAACCCAATAAGCCACAAGGCTGAGGATGGACTTTTGACTGTTTTGATTGGCCCCCGTGATGTGTCTTGGTACAGTGTTAAATATCTGTCATTTTGTAACTGTCATTAGATACTAAACACAATGGCAATACTTACAGATAGGTTCTTTCGCATTGGTTTTATGGTTCTTGTGTCTTCCTTCGATGAATGTGGTGATGGCCAGAGCAGAGACAAGATATAGAGCTAGATAGATAGACAGATGTTTCTATGCCTCTTCTGACTGCTTTTCCAAAATGTGAGCAGATTGGAAAATATTGTGAAAAGCACATTGTCATGTCTCCACTGTGCAAATTCTAACAACTTTTTTCATGTTTCTTGTAATATTAAGTGCTGTATTTTTGCAAAATAACAATCTCAGCTTTAATTTTTTTTAAAGCAAGTTTCAAACTTACATGGTTGGCAGGGGAACAGGCTCCTAAATATGCATCCTAAAAGACTGAAAACCCAAAGGAAAATTAAATTAATACATTTTCCATTCTTTTTAGGTCTAAAGATTTAAAAAAAAATCAGTATCATATTATTTGGGGCGTGATTCATTATTTACAAATTGCTAGGGATTGGCAGTTCTAAACCACGTGCCTAATTTTCCTGTGTGGCACACAGCAAGCGAGCAGTAACAGTGTCTGTTTTGACAGATAATAATTCTTGGCCCTTTTCTCCACAGACTTAAAAGCCCTTTGAAAAGGGATGTACTTTCCATAGTATGGAGGGGGATAATGTCTTCATGTTGCCAGAGTACTAATATTGACATCTGGGTCTCTTCTCAATTTGACCTTTGACTTGCTGTGTGACTTTGGACAACTTGCCTTCTCTCTCATTGCAAGCGATATAGCAGCATTGGTCAAATGTGAACAGCTTGGCAATTTGTGCACACAAAATGTGTGTGAAGGATGTAATTTTACAAGCTTTGCACTCTCCTATGCCTGAGGAAGGGCATGTGTACCCAAAAGCTTGTAAATAAAGATTTTTTTTTTCCAACGGGTTGGTCTAATAAAAGATACCGCTTTTAGCACACTGACTGAAGGATGCAACACATTCATTGGAAGATTATTCAACCCCATCCACACCTCAGGGCTAAGCTCCCTCATTTTCTGCGCTTCTCTCAGACACGGGCCCTGATACTGAAGCATGGCCTCTCTTCCAGGGCCTGAGCGGAAGATCTGCACGGAGAGCTGCTGCAGCGCTGGACTCAGGGCTGGTCCAAGGGTAATCGACGCCCACACCGCTTCCAATATCTCTTTTAGGATGCCGTTGCCAGCGGTCTCCTCTTGTCCGAACCCCCCTTGAGAGTTGAAAAGGTAGGAGTCGTGAGTGGAGTGCAAAACAGCCGCGAGGTGCGCTTAAAGCCACGTCCAAGCCCTTGATGTAGCTGTGTGGAGGTAACCAGGCGTTGCAGCTGTGATGGTGGTCGATGCTAGCCATCTTTTCAGAGGTCTTTCTCCCCTGACCGAAACCAAAGGTCTTAGACCACGGTGGAGCTGTAGCCGGCCAGGGCTCTTGCTCCTATTATTTTGTTCTGCACATCATTTTGCCCCCCCCCCCAGTTTGGACCGCCCGGGTTGGACCGGCCCTGACTGACCCTTGGGCAAACTTGTTTTTGTTTTAAAACCCCCCCCAAACAACCTGTCATCTCTGTTGCGCGGTAAGCACGCAGATAAGGCCAAATAATTTCAGAAGATAAGGAGCGCGCCGGCGCTGAGTCACGGCGGCCGGGCCGCCGCGACGAGTGGCCTGGACCGAGACGCCGGCCGGTGGGTGCTTCAGCGAG